AATTTATGACACGGAATAATTTTTTTATTCAGGCTTAAATTTTTTGTGTCCAAATCTAGCAGGCGTTGAATATACCTAAAATTGTAAAAGTCAGACTCTTTTATACCAGATATAACTGTCAGTGTCAGGATAATCTTCTTCTTCAGACATTTATGCGTGTCTTTTGTTTTTTAGTCTTTTGCAGTTTTTTGTTTGTATTTTAAGTAATGCTGATTAAAGCTTTTGCCTTTTGGTAAAAGAATTCATAAGCTATTTTCCGAAAAATCGACAGGTGGCTATTTATAAATAAAAATTAATTAAAAACGAGTCCAAATAAAAAAAATTGTGTCTCCGCCCCCACCATATCGAGCGGAGTAAGCATTTTACGGGACCCGACAAAATTAAGTTTATTTTAGAAAAAAGGGGGTCAATCATTGCGGACTATTTTTTATATTGAAGTAAAAATATTCAACTACATATGTAAATTTCAGACCAAAATAGTAATAAATGAGCTCGTAGCAATTAAAAAAAAAAATAAAAAATTGTCGGCTCCTGTTGGTCGTAGGACAATTTTTTTTTAATTCGTGTAAAAAATGTCAGCTTTCAAATTAATTCCTAATCAATGAGGTTTTCCAGGTTTCCCTCATTCCTGCACTGAATGGTGGTTAGGGCCTACCAACATAAGTCGTTCCTGGGCGCAAATGCGGCCTGCCTAATAATAATATGCCGCCTCCTCTCCCGCACAAGTCTCCGGACTTATGGGCTAATTCTCGTAATTAGAATGAGGAGTAGAGATATTATTATTATTATTATTATTATTAAATGGCAGTAATGCCATTCCGATTCAATTTCAACAATAAGAAAAAGATTTCGGTAGACTTTCCGCATATTTCCAATTATTTTGCAATTCGCGCACAGTTTGCACAGGAAAGTACAACTCTTAATGAAAATTGTAAGCCCAAGATGGGTCACGTAAGTGCGTTACTGTATGATTTATTGAAACTTAAAAAAAAATTGTTTTTTTTCGAAAAACTCAATTTTTGCAAAAACTATCAAATATATTGAAATTTTACAAAAATGCACTTATTCCTACTTTCCAAGGACTACATATTCTGAAAGTTTCGTAAAAAAATCTTTTTCCGTTTTAAAGATGCAGAAATAAATAATTCCTAAATTTATACATTATACATTTGTACAATTTTTGTCTTTTTTTAAATGAAAAAAACTGATTTTTTGCAAACTTTGGACGCCATTTTGAAAATGAAGCCCTAATATTCAGCTGGGTAAAGTAGTTCATTCAATTCTACAGAATTTTTCCTAATTTAATTCTTTGTTATTACTGAACTAAATTTTGGCACATAAAAATCTAATTTGATTGGACTATAAATGATTACAAGCCACTCCACCGACGAGCTTAGACAACCTTAGGACACTGCACGACTGGTACTGTACTGTAAAAAATCCCTAAACCTCAGCGTCACCAATATTAATGATTCGTCTACAATGAACAATGACAAAATGTTGCGTCTACGCTCGAGATAATGCGATCGCTGATCGGTTGAATAGTATCTCGTGAAAAATAACACCGATCACCAGCCGGCGAAACAGAATGTTGTTTTAATGTAATCCCGCTCTCACAACTTTTAATTTTTCCAAACAAAACTGGTCACGTGACTTGTAATCATTTATGAATGCTCCGTATCACACTTACACACATTATTCCCTTCCCTCGGCGTAGTAAAACTATAAACAGTTTAGTTTTAGCACAAAATATATTACTGTATTGTTCAAATTTACGTGGTCGGTGTATTTCTATTTCATTTGTTTATACGGGGAGCTTTCTATATACATACCAATTTTTTTCTCGCGGATATGTAGGTTGTATTTTCGGCATCATTTGAATGTTTATAAAATAACTCAATCGATAAGCGATAATTCATCCTCCAGTACACCAACACGTGTATACGCTACGTAATTTAAGAGACCTTTGACAGCTCTAAATGTATGTATAAAAATACGAGCGTATTTTCAGAATCGTTTTGCTAAAATTGTCCTACAGATTTGAAATTGGTACAATTTAATGTAAAATTATAAAATACTTGGTGTAATTAAACATAATTTAATTTGATTGAGCGGAGCTATAGAGGAAACGAACTGCAAAGGTCATGCTGGTGATATACAAATGTTAACATAATATTTAGATAAACCCAATTGTTTGCAGTTCACCAATTAAGAAATCTTAACAATTACAGAGATAGGGTTTTTATCACGGACAAAATTAACTGGGGGTTTTCCGAAAGAGATATACTGACACTGATAATAATTAATTATTGTTACTAAGTTATTTAAATTAAATTTCCTTATTTTGTTATTTCACCAACACAATATCTTCTCTAAAAAATATTTTGCTTCCGCATTTATTAAGTTGGCTTGATTGCTTCTCCGGAGCCAGCAAAGTGGCAATTAAAATATGTATATCGGGAGATTTTAGTTGGTGAACTATCCGGAATGTGAAAATTAGTCTTTTATTTGTGAATTATGGCATAGATCCAACCCTGTCTAAAATTACATCGGAGCATATAATTTCTTGTTTCTCGTCTTTCATTTAGAATCGTGATTCGCCTCCTGCCCCTGGTTACGCATTTATCTTTAGAATCCAGCAGCTGTATATAATAATTATATAATGTAGAAATTCTATGAAAAAAAACTGATGTTTGTAGACGAAATACTCGAAATAGTGTTGTTTGTTCTTCGTTTAGTACAAAATTATTGCTCTTATGTAATTTTTCCACGAGAAGGTACACAGGCTTTAAAGGGGAAAAGTAAATAAGGCTTATACAGGGTGTCCCATTGTCAGCGTACAAAAATTTACCAGGGGGTAGACCAGACGACCAAAATAAGGTTAAAATTCTTATAAAATATTTTTCTGCGATGCACTCTCACCGAGTTACAGGGTGTTGTTTAGAAAAAAATAATAACTTTTCGCAATAACTCAAAAACCCTTTCAAGGATTTAAGTAATTTTTGGGTGGACAAGTTGGCCTAGGCCGCCCCTGGCGTCAGATGTAGTTTTAATGACACTTCACACAAAAATTACTTAAGTTCCTGAAAGGGTTTTTGAGTTATTGCGGAAAGTTGTTATTATTTTTTTTAAACAACACCCTGTAACTCTCAATCAGTGAGAGTGCATCGTAGAAAAATATTTTATAAGAATTTTAATCTTATTTTAGTCTGGTCCACCCCGAGGTAAATTTTTGTACGCCGACATTGGGACACTCTGTATATGTACGATTTGACCCAGGAACCAACCGTTTTTGTCTTTTAACAATATTTCAAAAAATCGTAACAAATTTTCTGTCGGTTTTGGAGTAGATTCCCAAATAATGACGCGCTTATTTTCTTTTACGACAAGAATTACAGTTTTTCAAAAGAATTTTAGTTAATAGAATTAAAATAAGTAAATCTAAACATTTTAGATGAAAAAGACGCAGAGTGCTATTAAATTAGAGGGTGGAAATTGGAGATAGAGGTGAAAATGCACCCCTGCCAGTTTTTTAATTGTAGCTCGAAAACGAAGCAAAATTTCGCTATAGTTCATAGGGAAAATTATTTAGAGAATTGAATTTCCCCTCGAAATGGCTTATTTAAAAAATTTAAAAGAAAAATTTTATGCAAAAAGTCGTTAATAAACAATTTTAAAGAAAGCAACGACTTTTTGCATAAAATTTTTCTTTTAAATGTCATGTCATGAAAATATGATGGAAATCCTTGAACGTCTTATTTCCTTCCTTTTTTTCGAAAAATGAGAACTAAAACGTTTAGGTAAGGGAAAACGCGACAAAAATTGGCTAAGTTTGAATGGCCATATATGGTGATCAGTCAATTTTCATTCAAAAATACTTTACTCTTGTTTTTTTTAAGGAAATCTTTACTTTTTTTATGAAGCAATGCCTATACCTATCTTTACTCAAAAAAAACTAGACAAAAAAGTAAAAAAAAAATAAAAAAATCGAATTTTTTACTTTTTTTTTAAATTGTTTATTAACAATTACTTAAATTTTCTTTTTAAATTTTTTAAACAAGCGGAGGAAATTCAATTCTCGAAATAATTTTTCCTATGAACTATACCGAAATTTTGCTTCGTTTTCGAGCTACAATTAAATAACCGAAAGGGGTGCATTTTCACCCCTATCTCCTATATCCACCCTCTAATTTAATAGCACTCCGCGATTTTTTCATCTAAAATGATCATTTGAACGATCTGAGTGTGAGGACACATAAAGTTAAAAGAGAGGGTCAACCAAAACATAAACATTTATTTAATACGAGATGGAATTCAATATTTACGCAATTTGGCCGAAAATTATAAAGTGCAAAATCTAAAGGTGTCACTTCTCTGAAATAAACATAATTAGAGCAGTACTGAAATGTGAAAAATATTCGCGAGTGTATTTCAGATGTTTTTTTTGGAGCCAGGAGATATTTCGATAACCTTAACCCGAGAAAACTGAACTTGTGTTTATTCGCTTATATTTATCTTATTACAGAAGCAGACTATTACTTTTCCGAAGGTTTTCGACGCGCTTAATCCTCAGTCCTGTTTTGTTAAATATTTTTGTAATCTAAAAAATATCTTTGTTATTCCCGTTACTGATTCATTGATTACGATATTTGTAACACCTTCCGTTACATCGAATCTTGTAACACCACCATTTTAAATATTTAAATGGTGACTCAGACGCTTGAAAGGGAAACCTGCGATTTGTCTTTCACATAACGCCGACGAGGTGCCACTGCTGGTAATCAATTTTCTCGTAAACGCTGCTTATCCCCATATTTATTTATTCCCGTCTTTCCACTCGTCCATATTGAACGACGGTTTTAATTTCAGAGCCATGGGGAATCAGAGACCGCCGAATCGCCTAGGCCCCTGTCCGAGACGAGCGAAATGAGCCTTGAGGTGGGCACCTTGAACAGGAAGCGGAAGAGTCCCAGCGACAAGCAGAGGCCCCTCACCAGATACCTGCCCATAAGGGGGTCGGACCTGGACCTTCGCCAGCACATAGAATCGGCCGGTGAGAGTTTTTATTTTGGCGTGTACAGTTAAAAATTTTTAAGGCGCGCTATTTTCATGAATATTTTTTTAAATGTAACGTTTTTTTTTTTTTAAATGCTTGTGAATCGATTACGGCCAAATTTTTTATAAAAAATGGGTAGAATTTAATTCTAGATATTAAATTTTTATCTCTTTTCATGTAGGCCACCAGGTGGTGCTGTGCCCGCACGTTTTAATAAATTCGAGCACGTGCCGGGGGTTCCTTCACAAGAAGGGTTCGAAGCTGAACGGGTGGTCCAGGAGGTGGTTCGTATTCGACAGGAACAAGCACACTCTGACCTATTACTCGGACAAAAGCGAAAAGAAGCCCAGAGGGGGGGCGTATTTCCAGGTAATGAAAAAAAAAGTTTGTAGGAACTGTTGGTCGTAGGATAAATTTTTTTTTTAAATTCGTGAAAAAATGTGAGTTTTCAAACGGCAATAGTGCCATTCCGATTAAATTTCAACGGTAACAAAAAAAGGATCTACATTTTTCGAACCGAAAAAAAAAGTCAAAGTTTCGGTTGATTTTTCTCGTATTTGCAATTATTCTGTTCCATCTAAAAGAATAAAATCGAAAATCTAATTGTTAAATTTTGAAAAAATGGGACAAATCGAGGCGGTGTAGCCCCGAAATATCGTGTACGGAGATAATTCGGAATCGTCGTCGCTAAAAAGAGCAAATTACTCATAAACGGCTTTTCCAGGCCATCGAGGAGGTCTACTTGGACCACCTGAACAGCGTGAAGTCGCCCAACCCCCAACTGACGTTCATCGTTAAGACGCACGAACGTCTCTATTACTTGATGGCGCCGTCCCCGGAGGCCATGAGGATATGGGTGGACGTCATCTTCACCGGCGCCGAGGGATATCGGGAGTTCGAGCATGGCACCTGATGGTAAATTGCCAGCCCGTTCCGCGTCGGTTCACCGAATTTACATATTGTTACGTATGTAACGGAGTTTATTGTTCGTAATGGATAAACAGATCTAATTAGCTGGATATATTTTTATAATATAGCGATTAGGAGGTAGTTTTTATATTACTTTTGTACATAAACTTGGGGGTTCAATAATGTAACGTGATAAAGGACTATTTTTGTACGTCTAAATCGAATGGCCGTTTGCGATGTTGTGCGGTGCCTTTTGCGAGAGTCGCAAGTGCGGTGGCAGGTTTGTCGTCATTTCTTTTTAATGTGTTTTATGTTTTAAGACTGTGCACAACCAATATTTCTTGTAATTCTTATGTTTAATGAATATTAAAAATACGTTTGAAAAAAAAAACGCCGTTTCATTAATCTCAATCATTTATCAAATATTTCACTAAACCATTACCACAGCGCCTCTGGTGATTTGGAAGCCTAACTAATGCATAATGTAGACAACCGTAGATATGCATATGTACATTTGGTTGCCTAATTTAAGTGCAGTATTTATTGTTGCCCATGGGTATTAATTATTATTAAATATTTTTCCTTTATATTTAAAAGTTTAAATATATATTAAAGTAAAGAAATCTACCTTGTTTAAATTGTCCATACTTTAATATATATATTTAAACTTTTAAATATAAAGGAAAAGCATAAACATACCAGAACCCCATTTGTTTAAAGGAATAAAAAAATATTTTATGNGTATAAAATACCACAAAGTAGTTCAAACGTCTCAGTTTTAGTTGCAAACTGTTTTTCTACATATTAAAATTTAAAGCTATCGTTAACGACAATAATATTTTGCTAGACTAAAAAATACCACAAAGTAGTTCAAACGTCTCAGTTTCAGTTGCGGTGTACTATTCTACGTGTCGTAACGAGTAGAGCATTAAGAATATGAGGGAATAGTTCAAACGTTTCAGTTTTAGTTGCAGACTATTATTCAACGTGTCGTAACATAGGGATGGTGTTAAAAATATTATGGAATAGTTCAAACCTCTCAGTTTTAGTTGCAAACTGTTTTTCTACTTATTAAAATTTAAAACTACCTTTAACAACAATAATATTTTGCTGTACTGTAAAAAATACCACAAAGTAGTTCAAACGTCTCAGTTTTAGTTGCAAACTGTTTTTCTACATATTTAAATTTAAAGCTACCGTTAATGACATTAATATTTTGCTAGACTGT